GCCTAGCTGGGGTCCTATGTCTCTGTCAGCCTCTGGGGACTACCCAGAAATCTCAGCAACAAATGCAAGGCCATTGCTGAGGGATGCTCTCCTGGCGTTGATATTTGCTTGGGGTTGGTTGGGAACCTGGAGGGTTCAGTTCATAGCTCCAAGCCCCCTCCCCCGCCTGTCCCCGGGGCCTCCCCGTTTTGATACCTTAGGTTTTGCCTGAAAAACCCCCACCCACCCACAATCCTCCATAAAAGAAAGAAGCCAACTCTTTAAAACACTGGGCCTGAACCAGTCACTCTTTAAGATGAAGGCGAGCAGAGCTAACACGTCTGCCATTTTGTTTAACTTCCTTACTCCCGCTCAGACTATGGCTGTGGAGCTGCCATCACCCCCTCACTCCCACGCAGACTGTGGGTCATCTCCTGAAGTCTGAGGGGCTAAAAGGCTCTCTCCCTCTGCCAGCCGAGCTCCTTTAGCACTGAAAGTTGAGCCCCCACTTTCCAGTAAACAATCACACCCTTGGAAGTGGAAAATGACCCTGGAAAGAAAAACTCAACATGCAGCGGAAAGATGCAGGCTTGCTCCTTGGGGATCGAACTGCAACGCCCTAGTCCTCGTCAGCAGATTTTTCAAAGGGCATCTGTCTTTTCTATCATCCCCCTTTCCAACGTCTTTCCCCAAATGCTTTTCAAAAGTGGCTAAAGCTCAGAAAAGTGCCGCAGCGTGGGGACAGAACCTGTTTGGGGAAGTACCCACAGCCCACTTTCCACCTCAGGAAGTGGGGAAGGCAGTATAGGGGGCCAGAGCATCCTGGCAATTGTGTCTGGATGATTCTCAAACTTCGCCCCCAAAGTACAGTGCTGAAAGTCATTGGATTTCAACAATACTTCAGTCACAGTGAGAAGCCATGGTAGCACAACAGTTAAGCACTCAGCTGCTAACCAAGAGGTCGGCAATTCGAACCTACCCAGCAGCTGAGAGAGAGAAAGACCTGGCAATCAGGTCCCATAAACACAACAGCCTAGAAACCCCTATAGAACAGTGCTACTCTGTCATATGGAGTCGATCTCAACAGAAAGCCAGTCGGCGGCACGTAACAACCACAGCATTCTTTTTTTCCTTTTTTTTAAATGAAGAGCTAGTTTATTTTAGGCTTTTGGTTTGTATTAAATTTGTGTGTGCCTGTGTGTGTGTGTGTGTGTGTGTGTACATGTGTGTGCCATGCAGTTTGTCACTCTGAGCCTTCTCTACTGTGATGCAGACATTCCCGGATGACAGACAGCCTTCTGCTGTCAGGACCCAGGCTGGCCGTGGCGATGCCACGTGCCCAACCACAACATTCTAACACAGGCCTCCTGCTGCCTGGACAGAGGTGTCAGGAAACCTGTGAGTGGGAGGATGCAATTGCAGTCCCTCCCCACCCCCACAGGGCTGAGATGTGGCCGACTCTTTGCAGACATGAAAAATTTATGAAAATGTGCTTAATCCATTTTTAACAGCTCGGTCATTTTGGTTCTTTGGCATTTTTTTTTTCATGACAAAAATAGTACCTTTCTTCCTGAAAAATATTTGGCATTGCGTAGCTTCTCCGAGGCTCCAGGAGTGAGCAATCGCCAGTTGGGGCCAATGTGGCAACCAGGCACACTACAGGAAACGCATACAATACATTTTGAAAGGTGGAGATTCATATCCATCACAGTTTCAGAAAGAGAACAGAAAAAAGGCAGGATGGGGCTTGGCACAAGGTTGTGCTTTTCTCAGACTAGGAAACCCCGAGGTTCTCTTCCCGGTGGTACAGGGAACGCTTCGGATGGACATCTCCCCTGCTGCTGGTCCATTCCAAGCATGTTTCTCCGGTCAGTTGCCTCCTTTCTTCCCTTCTTCACCTCAACAGTCGGGACGCCAGTGGTTTTGGAAAGCTGTAGTTCTTATGTCTGTCTGCCAGATGTTTGATCATTGATGGAGCCTTTGGTACAAAGAGATCTTTCCTCCAGGAAGCTGATCCTGCTATACTCTCAACACTCAGGGATCCCATAAGGGCCACAGGAGGTGAGATCTCAGACAACACTAGTCACCCAAAGACTGAGGATGAGGCCACAGGCCTACAGGGCAAGTGACTGAAAACTGATTCCTCCTTTGTCCTTATTACCATTGCCTCACCTCTGCCCTCTCTCTGTGTGCCCAGTTTATCATTCTTGTTTGACAGAAAAAGAGCTGAGGAAATGCCAATGCATGCTCAGGATGTGTGCGTCCTTTAACAAAAGGTCACTCCTTGTCTATGTGGCGCTGTGCTCTGGGCTGGGCCTTGGGGATTTGGTGGATGACATGTCTCTGCAGTCAAGGAGCTCACAGTATAGTGGGGGCACTCTCCCATGTAAACTAGCAACAGTAACAGTGCAAAGGAGTCCTGGGGGCGCTATGGATTAGGGGTCGAGCAGCGTATGGCAAGTTCGGCGGTTCGAACTCACCAGCTGCTCTGTGAGAGAAAGATAGGTCATCTGCTCCCCTAAAGACTGATGATTTCAAAAACCACATGAGGTTGCTATGAGTTGGATTCCATTTGATGACAGTGGTGTGTGGTCATATTTGTGGTTGTTGTTATTGGTGTGTGTGTGTGTGAGAGAGAGAGAGAGAGAGTGTGTGTGTGTGTGTGTGTGTGTGTGTGTGTGTGTGTGTGTGTGTTGAGGGTCCTGTGGAAACACACCCACTTGCATGGGTGGGTGAGCATTCTCAAGAAACCTTCCATAAGAAATTGACAATGAAGCTGAGTCCAGCAAGGAGAATCAGAACGAAAGGACAAAGTGCTTTGGGTGGAGGGAACAGTATGTGCACTAGAGAGACATTTGTGGAAGGAGCAGGTTGGCCAGACCACACAGGATCTTGGGCACAAGTGAACTATTGAGTTAAGCAGAGGAGACAAGGGCTCCCCAACCACCCCTTGGCTCCCCTGCCCTGGAAGTTCTGGAAGACTCTCTATGTCCTTCTCTTCCTGTTCATGGACTCTTATGGGAAATAGGGAGGGAGGGTTGCCAGGTAGGAAGGCTGCTAGAAATCACTTTAATATAATTCGCACTTTGTACTTACAGGGCATATAGCTGTTATTTGAGGTTTATAATGATTCTAGGCCCATTTCTGAGAGCCCAGTGCCCCCATAAATATTTTAGTGTGTGTTCTTCAGAAGCCTGTTCTTTCCCTTTCATTTGTGGTTTGAAAATTCCTCTTTAATATGAATACAGCCGGAAGGGAGACGTGGCACAAATGCCCCCACCGTTGCCTTGTCATTATTGGCTCTAAGTCATCAATGGACCCTGTACAAGAGATTCTGGCGCTCCCACCAATATGCCTCTGGAGAGGCTGAGGTAAGTGCTGCAGTTTTCTCTGGGATTGACTCATGTAAAGTGGGACGAGACCAACCCCGTCCCCTAGCACATGCTCAGGACTCAGCAGATCTTGGAGAGTTGGTGTGGGTTTCCACCGAAGAGGAAATGAAAACCTTGGCTTCTTGACATTGTAATGTAGGAGAGAAAGTGAGGATGGAAGAAAGGGAGGGAAAAGAAAAGGGGAGACCTGTACTGAGAAAGGAAAACACAGAAGGAGCCAGGAGACGTTGATTAGCAGGCAAGACGCGGGAGAAGGAAGGAGAGAGGAAAGAAAGCTGCAGGTACAGAGGGGAAAAAATGGAAGGGAGGGAGCGACACCGGGGAAGTCCCAGAAGGGCTTAAAGGATGCATGAAATCCTTTAGGGAGGGGGGCAGCAGATGCACCTGCATAAGGTCTATAAGCAAGTGGCCTTCACAATGAGGCCAGCCCACCTTCCCTGCTTCCTTCTCCAGCCAGGGCTGAAGGCCCCACCAGCCTTCCATGGGAAAGAAGCCTATCTAGGGCTCTCTGTGAGGCTAGCCCCAGCTCTTTTGCCCCATTCTGTCCCATGGAAGCCTGCTGGGTCCCAGGTCTGGCTCGGGCCTGCCAGGGACGGTTCTCCCTTCCTGTGAGCCAGGCTGGTGAAGGGAGACTGGAGAGGAGGATTTTGAGAGCTGCAGAGGGTACCGCAACCTCCCCAGAGATGACCTAAGAGAGGGAGGGACGCAGGCGAGGGGAGAAAATGAGAAGGTGCAAGGGTGAAGGGGATAGGGGGTGGGCAGATTGATGGATGGACACACAGACTGGCCAGCAGGAAGACTGCATGTGAGGTGGGCACCGAAGTCCTTCAGTACCCCCATTCAAAGGGTTGGGGGCAGCTGCCACTGATGTTGTTGCTGCTCCTCTTCCTCCTCCTCCTCTTCCTTCACTCCTCTAACTCTTAAAGCTGGTCATCTTGAGAATACCAATGACAATCGGCCTAAACTCTCCTGGGGTCTCTTCCAACCCCTTGTAAAAATCAGTCCGGTGAGACTCTCTGGCCCCAGCTGAGGTCCGTGTTCAAAGAAATGTTGGTGGGGAAGAGGGAACAGCGCAGCCCCCAAACACTCCTCCCACTGGCGACATCCACACTGGACAGAGCACTTGGGAGCCTCCAGGAGCAGCAGCTCGCAGCACACGCTCCTCCCCAGCACACGGACACACTTGGAACCCCACTCCAGCTGCTGGCGACTGTGCCTTTAAATTGCTGCTTTTGGAGGGTGCATCTGGGGGGAGGTGGGAGGGAGGGAAACATCTTCCTACCAGTCTCCCTCCTCCCTCCCCTCCAAGATTCTCCAGGGTTTGGAGAGTGATTGCTGCCCAAAGAGAATCTCTTTCAGCTCCCCGAGCAGGAGCAGGAGCCAGTAGGGTTATCTGTGTCAGGATCATTTCCAAAGGAATAATTCTGGCCCCTGACCGGTAAAGACAGGGCAGAAGAAAAGAGAGCCGAAGAGGAGAGAGCACGCGAGCAACTCCCAGCCTGGCTCCCCACGGGCTCTGAGCACTAGCGGCCCAAGTTGGAGGAAGGCTCTACACTTAGGGTGTTGGCGCTGGGACAGCCCCCCTCACGTTGGCAGCCAAGCTGAGGAAGGGGTCCAGGTCCCCTCGGAATGACCACTCTTGCTCCTGCGACCCTTTCCGTCCTTCTTCTGTGGACCTTGCCTGGGCAGGTCCTCCTCAGGTGAGCTGAGTGGGGGTAAGAAGGTGGTGTATGCGGAGACACTCGTGTCTGGGCCAGAAGGCGCCCAGGTACACCCCTAAGTTTGCAAAAAGCCCAGTCAGGAGGGCTTCAGGGAAGGCCAGGAGGTTTTCCTGGGGCAGGTCAAGGCCCTGCGCTAGTGGGAAGGTTTCTGCATGCACCGGAGCTTTGGGAGCCTGAGCCAGGGCTAGGCACGTAGCCGAACTCCGAAAGGGACTCCAACCGCCTTGCCATCAAGTTCTGGCTCCCGACTAGTTTGGTCACACACTGCTCAGCTCTCAGAAAAATGACAGCAACATTTGCCAGCTGCCTGCCTGGGAGGCTTCAAGTAGCTGGAGTTTGCAGAATGGAGCTGAGGTGGCCCAGTCTTGGACCTCTGCAGCCGCCATCTGCCTGTGAGTGTGTGGCTGCTAGGGGGTCCCTGAAAGGGGACCCTAAAGTAGCAACCATTCACCGGAGCTTGAAGGCAATACAGGCTTTGCCCCCCTTTCTCACTCCCTCACAAAACAAAAACTCCAACACATAGCAGCCCTCTAGGACAGGGGAGAACTGTCCCTGTGGGTATCCAAGATTGGGACTCTTTCTGGGACCAGAAAGCCTGTCTTTCTCCCATTTGCCCACACCCTTAACATTCCCCACCTCTTCCCACGTATTTCATTAGAACAGCAGCCAGTCTGAGTGAGCTGAGCAGGAGAAATGGCTGGGGCCTGGGTTGAAGGGAGACAGGGGTGGGTACCACTGTGACATCCTGCTCTTCTTCTGGATCAGAGCATCAAGGAGAGGAGTGCACTAGGGCAGCCTGCCTCTGAGGACCACCCTCTAGCCCTGCTGCGGGCAGACCCACTGGCTGACTGGCGAGCAGGGATGCAGTTTGGGGCCAGAAACTTCCTAAGAGTGACAAGCAGCTCAAAGGGGACTGGCAGCTCAGCTGGAGTTGCTCAGAGGAAGCAGAGAGAAGAGGGCACCCAGCTGGGGCTTGCTGGGCCTCCTGGAGGGGAGGCTACCTTATGGACCAAGCTTAGGCTGCAGCAGTCCTACTTGGAGTTGGAGACTGGGTGTGGTGAGAGCAGGAAGGGCACTTAGAGAGTCCATAGTACGTTTGGAAACGGAGACCTAGAGAAGGACTGTAACCTGTCCAAGGTCACTCTGGGATCCAGTGACAGATTCAGGATTCTCCCCAAAGTCCACCCCAGGACCTTGCAAGTACAGGATTGTCAATTTAGGGACCTCCCAGGTCCTGCCAGGTGGGAACTTTCCAGGAATGAAAGGGAAGAAGGAATTGTGACAGTATTTCAGCTCTCTGGGCCTCAGATGACGAGAGGTGCTGCAGTACAACAGGGGACCCAGGACAATTGGACCCACAGCATGTCTAGGGGTCCTGGAGCTGGGGCTGGTGGGAAAGGTGACCTGAACATGAGGCTGAGGACAGTAGGGTCTGTCTGGCTGCACCATGTGCATAGCCATGTGGCCTCCCAGTGGGCAGGTGGCAGGCAGCCAGGCAGCCAGCAGCCAGCAGCACCTGGCCAGTGTGGACATCCTGTGGTGAGGCCACGGACTTCTGCTTGCTCCAGCACCAGCACCAGCCTCCTTGGACTTTCAGAACCTGCTTAGGCTACCTGCTCTGGCAGCCCAGACCTGCTGTCCCACCTGGGACAGGGGTGGCTTCTGTTCCCAGGGCAAGGACTTCCCTCGGTTCAGGCAATTCCAGGGGGTAGTACTCAAGGCAGGGAGGGACTGCCGCTGACTTTCCCCCACTCTGGTTTGGCAGCCCACTCTGAGCTATTGCCACCATGGAGCTATGATACATTTCATTTTGATGTCCAATTGCCCCGGGTTCGAATCTTGACAATGACACATACGAGCTGGGTGCTCCTGAACAAGTGCCATCACCTCACTGACCCTCAGTCTCTTTATCTATATTATTGGAATGATCATGATGTCGATCTGAGAGGAGCGATGGGAAACTAACACGAAAATGGGCGCAAAGTACTTAGCAGGGTGCTTAGCTATTCTTTGTGATTCTATTGGTTTCTGGCTGGTACGTGGGTTTCCTGGGTAAGAGGAGGCTGCTGACCTGGTGAGATAGGTTATTACCCTAATCCCTAGAAGTCACCCTGCCCACCCCAGCGCAGCTACACGAGATAGCAGAAGCAGCAGTGGTAGTGGTGGATTTCACTCCAGTGCCTGCCACAGTGGTGATGGCAGGATGGAGCAGAAAGCTCATGGCCTGGCCAGGAGACCAGCCGGAGCTCCACCCAGAGCCCTGCACCCTGCGCCCTGTCCCTAAGGCTTGGCTGAGCCTCTAGTCCCTGGTCTAGCCTTTGGTTGGTTGGTAAGCAGGTAAGGAGGCATGTGGGAGGGGGTTTGCTGCTCTGAAAAAAAAAACCCACATTTGTCAGGAGTCGGTTACTGTGTTATGCTGAAGCATGTTGCCCACCCCACCCCCCTCCTCCCCACAAATCATGCTGTTAAGGGAAATAAGATGGGAACTGGCCTTCTCAGAATGGCCACCCCATGTTCCTAGGTCCCTGCTTCTCCACCTAACTCCTTATCAAAATGAGTTTGTGTGCATGCAGCTGCCATAGCCCTCAAGTATGTGGCAGAACTCACAACACAGCTCCCTGCCCGAGTAAACACCAGAACCAAGCCCCCTTCCCTGGGAGGAAGGTCCTAGGGAACCCAAACAGCCCAGGGTGAAGCCTAAGCCACTGAAATCCACTGGCAGGGATGCAGATGGGCACAGATCCCTTTCTCAGCCTTGGCTGGGCCAGATGGGCAAAACATTGTAGCAACTCTCTGATTTCCGGTGAGCCAGTATTCTTCGAGTGCTTTCAAAAAACATTCTAAAAGAGAACCCTGAATGAGGCCTCAGCCCTGAGGCCTGACCCTGCCGCTCACTAGCTCTGGGACTTTGAATAAGTCGTTCCTCCTTTGGGAGTTTCCATTGGCTTGGTTGGAGAGAGCAGCTCTCATCTCGAGTAGGGCTGATGAGGATGAAAAGACTCACAGCACTTTTGGAGGTCTAACTCCACTGTTGGGGTATGGTAGTTTTAGGGGTTCTCTTCATTTTGGAAATGGACATCCAGACACCCATCTTCTTCTATCCTCCAGCATGTTTGAGAACCCAGTCAGAGGCTGGTGGTGATGGAGGCTCTGTCACAGTACAGAAAACACCTTATCTCGGGAATCTTTATCTCTCCTGTCCAGGGAGGCCTTGGGAAAAGAAGAAGTCAAATCTGAGACAAAGGTGGTTTCCCAGCCCATGTCCCCCTCTGATTTCCTGGACAAGCTTATGGGGCGAACATCTGGATATGATGCCAGGATTCGACCCAATTTTAAAGGTAATAATCATTTACCCTAAAACAGCAACAACAACAAAACCCTTTTCCGAAGAGACAGCCAGTCAGGGTGCAGTATAGCACTGATGAAACATACAACTTTCCTCTAGTTCTTTAATGCTTCCTCCCGCCCCCTGCCCCCCCCCATCATGACCCCAATTCGACCTTACAAATCTGGCTAGACCAGAGCATGTACACGGGTACAGATAAGAGCTCGAAACACAGGGAATCGAGGACAGATAAACTCCTCAGGACCAATAATGAAAGTAGCGATACCAGCAGGGTAAGGGGAAGGTGAGGGGAGAAATGATCTCCATATAACCCCTTCTTAGGCGGATGGACAACAGAAAAGTGGGTGAAGGGAGACAGCGGTCAGTGTAAGACATGGGGAGAAATTTTTTATAAATTATCAATTTATATCAATTATCATAAGGGAGGAGGGAAATGAAAAGTTGATATCAAGGGTTCAAGTAGAAAGAAAATTTTTTTAAAATAATGATGGCAACATATGTACAAATGGATGGATGGATTGTGATAAGAGCTGTAAGAGCTCCCAATAAAATGGTTTTTAAAAGCACATACACATCCTTTTCCACTTCTTTTGGGGATACACTACCCAGCCATACTTATTTCCTGTCCCAAGAAAAGGAGGCTGGAAGTACAAGATGAAGCTAACACTTCTAGCTCAGCAGACACCCTTCCCCATTACCCAGGGGGCCTACGTAGCTGGCACTGCCTTCTTCCCAGCTATGCCCTGGCCTGAAAGTCTGGGAAGGAGTCCTGTGATCTGCTCCCAGTCTCCTGGAATACTCTGCCAATGGGCTGTTCTTTGCTGCCCTTAGGCCCACCCGTGAACGTGACCTGCAACATCTTCATCAACAGTTTCGGCTCCGTCACCGAGACCACTATGGTAAGGGGGTCTCCCTGTTCCCTGCTTCCATTCTAGTGTGAATGGGACAAGTGCATCAGATAGCAAGCACATCCTCTCTCTTTTGTGGTCATGATTAAAGCCATAGAAGGTCTGAAGGTCATTAGGCAGTCATCTTTCTCTAACCCCAGGCTTACATAGCACAAGACAGATAGGCATTGGCAGCGGTTAGTCAAATGTGTGAGGTGGCTGGGTGCAGAGCACAGGCTGTAGAATCGGCGCATTCTGGTTTCAAATCCAGATTCGACCATACCAATAGTTGTGTGACCTTAGGCAAGTTATTAAAATTTCTCTCTGTTTCTGTCCCTTCCATATATAAAATTGGGAACATAACAACACCTTCTCCGAAGAGTTCATGTGAGAGTTAAATGTGATGATCACATAGAGAAATCACTTAGCAGAGAGTCTAACACATAGTCAGTATTCATTAGTGTTTTGGTCCCTCCCACCTTGGCCAGGTCAGCCTGAGGTAGACTCCTTTTGAAATGGAAAATGGCCACAGTCCCAAAATTTCTCTTTCGTAGTCCTCCTATCCACCTAGGGTTGCTGGGCCCCTGGTAATCTCCCTACCACTGATGGGTCCATCTCTGCTCCTTCCCAGGACTATCGAGTGAATGTCTTCTTGCGGCAGCAATGGAATGATCCACGCCTGGCTTATCGGGAGTATCCAGATGACTCACTGGACCTCGATCCCTCCATGTTAGACTCTATCTGGAAGCCAGACTTGTTCTTTGCCAATGAGAAAGGGGCTAACTTCCATGAGGTGACCACTGACAACAAGCTACTGCGCATCTTCAAGAATGGGAATGTGCTCTACAGCATCAGGTGAACCTGCTGAATGGCTAGGAGAGTATGGAGCAAGAGAAAGAAGCCAGATGGAGGCCTATGGGTGGGAAGAGGGTCCCCTGTTCTGTGCTAGGCTCCAGTAAGCCAATGTCACTTCTTTCTTGTTTCCACCAGGCTAACTCTCATTCTGTCTTGCCCAATGGACCTCAAGAACTTCCCCATGGACATCCAGACCTGCACAATGCAGCTGGAGAGCTGTAAGTATCCCTACAGGGTCACAGGAAATACCAGCTAGTCAGTCCCATCCCAAGATATTCCAGACAGGAAAACAGAAACCCAGAATGGGAAGGGATTTGGCGGATGACAAATAATCAGTTCTGAGCACAGGTGACACTAGGAGCCAGGGATTCATCTCCATACCATTTGCTGCTCTGGCTTACAGATGCATGTGGACCACGTAAGAGATCCCCTTCCCTGCCCCCAAATATGTCCCTTCTCATAGTACCTGAAATAGTTCTACCTTAGTCTCCCTGAGACAAGCTATCGAAGGTGCCTATAAAAATGCCAGTGTTGGCAGGAAGGAGAAACTCCTTGATTATCCATGAACACAAATAATCTTTGTAGAAAGTCAGGAGAAGATAGTTCTAAGAAGAGGAGAGTGTCCAGGTAGAGAGGTCAGTCCGGGGCTATTGTGTGGTGAGAGTGCCAGCCTGAAAGGGCCACCCAGAGTGCAGAGGAAGTAAGAGCTGAGAAGGTTAGACCATCATCTATTTCCACCCGTTCTCCGTCTCCTGGGTAAGTTATGACAGGGAGATCAAGAGCTCGCCACATGGTCCTCAGACAAGCCTTGTATGGCACGTGATAATGGTGAGGAATAGGAGGAACAGACGTCTCCTATGTAGTCAGTTCTTTTGAGTGCATAAACCACTTTCACATGCAGGTTCTCTTTGCCTCCTCACAACAACTCTGAAAGGTGGGTAGACCAACTACTATTATCCTCAATTGATGAGAAGGAAGTGATTTGCCCAAAGTCACACCTCGATTCTGGACCAAGGCCCTTCACTGGACACCCATGAGCCTTCATGTCTCTGCTTCCCCTTCTACCTGACAAGTCTTTAATTTCATTTTCCATGAATTTTTGAAGCCCTCTCCTACAGTCACATATGTGGTGTGAGCCTTCATGACTGCTGTGAGCAACTTGGCATGTTCAAATGTTAGCTCTCCATTTGGCCCAGTTTGAGGGCCTGGAGAGGAGCCTATGATGTGTCCATTGTCCCATGCATGATGAGCAGGGTATTAATAGCTCTACCCTCTTGGAGGTGAAATGGCAGGAGCCCTCAATCTGAAGCTGGCTCGGTTCAAGACATGTGGTTGGCATACATGCTTAGTCCCCTGGGTTGGAGATATGGCAGAAGCTTCCCAGCAGGGCTCCTTGACATCTTTCCAACCTTCTTGACCTGCTTTTTCAGGTCCACCAGAATATGGTAATTGCTCTTCAGACATCTCAATCTTTAAAACTGGGTAAGAATGGAGTCTAGAATCCTCCTAATTTACCCAGTATGCTGTGGGCCCATGAGACAAGAGCCAAGTCTCCCTTTCCAAGATGAGCATGAAGCTCCTGAAGTCCAAGCCTTACTCCTCATCAGATCCTTCCAACCAGTTCTGACCCAATTCCTGACCCTTATCCACCACCCTCTGCCATTTCTGTCCCTTTCAGTTGGCTATACCATGAACGACCTTGTGTTTGAGTGGCTGGAAGATGCTCCTGCTGTCCAAGTGGCTGATGGGCTGACCCTGCCTCAGTTTATCTTGCGGGATGAGAAAGATCTAGGCTACTGTACCAAGAACTACAACACAGGTAAACATCCGGGATCATTAGGGTTTATAGACGGGAGAGAAGGGGAAGATACAATGGTAGTGTTTCCTATAGCTGATCTCACTTTACAGCAAACCTGTAAGGTAGAGTTTGGGTGCCCCACTTTTCAGAATGGGAAAATTGAGGTTCTAAGAGTTTAAATCGATCATCCAATATCACAGGGCTAGTAAATAGTAGGTTCTGAATTCCAATCCGGGCATAATTTCCTTGGAACATGCTGCAGGACTAACAAAGCTGTGCCAGTGAGTGACAGGGAATGTCCCACCTTGGAAGATGGGGAATTTACATCTGGGAATACTCGATGGCTTTTCTGAACAGGGAAAAAAGGAAGAGCCCAGGGCTCTGGCCAACTTCCTGTTCACAACCCTTCTCACTGCTGTGCTGCCCTCAGGAACTGGCTTGTTTTCCCAGATGGGAGAGAGACATGGGCCTGAAAGAGGGAAGGGTCTGTTTTTTCCCAGCCTAAGTATCTGGCCCTCCTAACTGCCATTGAGTCATTGCTGACTCATAGCAACCGACCCCTTGTGGGTTTCCGAGGCTTAACTGTTTATGGGATCAGAAAGCCCAGTCTTTCTCCCATGGAGCTGCTGCAGATCATGTGGATCACAGCCCAACATGTAACCACTACACCACCAGGGCTCCCCCACAACTCCATAAAAGCTGCTGGTTTCTAATTGTCTCTGGTAATTTGTCTTCAAGGATCTGTGACCCTCAGAGGAGGAAACAGGCTGAAGAAGGGAGGTCTGGGACCCTTCCATGGCACTCTGATATGCTTTGGGTGTTGCCTTCTAAATATGAGTGGACATGTATGTGGGGGACTGTAGAAAGCAGGAAGACAGAGGAGACATTGAATTTAGAAAGTTCAGGTAGATATGGAAATTCATATATCTATTGGTGAGGGGGAGGTTGGCAATATATATACAGGGCAGTAGTTTTTAAACTTTGATGTGAATTATGTCCCCCTGAGGAGACTATTAAAATCTTAATTCTTAACCTCTCAGAGGTTCTGATAGCATGGACTTGGAGTGAGGTCCAGGGATCTGCATTGTAAGGATTCTGATGCAGGTGTTCCTGGGTGTATACTCTGAGAAACTTAAGAACTTAAACGAAAAAAAAAATATATATATATATATATATTTTTTTAACTTGCTAATCCAGGAACCTCATGCCTTAGAATTTTGAATACGTTTTTAAAATAAATTCATCGATAGACTATTATACAGACATTAGAACGAATCATTGTAAAGATGTCAACATTGGAGAGTTTGATTGAAATCAGTAAAAAATAAAGGGAACAATTACATTGGGGTAAAATATTTCAACAAAAAGAATAGTGTTTTCACTGGATGAATGTATGGATTGTGATACAAGATGTAAGAGCCCCCAATAAAAGTAAGAAAAAAATAGTGTTTTTAAAACTTGAAAGGAAATAACACTAAATGTTCTAAAATAATAAGTTACAATGAATAAGAGCAAGAATTTTGGAATCAGATAGAACTCAGCTAGAATTCAAAATCAGTTTGAATTTTGGCTCCGGCTTTTAGTAGTTGGGTGGGTAACTTGGAGAAATACAAGTATAGCTTAATCTCTCTGAGCCTCAGTATCAGGGTCTATAAAATGGGAGCTGCGATTAACAAAGAGTTGTTGAAGGAGGAAATGAGAATGTCTATAAATCCAATGGCACGTTGTATGGGGCTTGGTAAATGTGAGATACAAAATCATTATTCCTTTCTACTATTTTTATATATATAAAAGTAGTCTCAAGTTATAGCAGAATTCTGTTCTAATGACGCTATCATAAATCGAGTCTTATGAAAGTCGAGTATCTCTTTTTGCCCTTCAGTTTTCATTATTAGTGCTTTTTATTATCAAGATTCATAAGGTTTTCAGTTTTTACAGAAGTAAATCAACAGTTCCTTCTTTCCAGTCTGTCTCTGTCTTAGCAAAGATGTTATTTTGAAGGCTAAGATGTGCATGATCCAAGTCATGGTATTTTCTCATATGCATGTGAAAGTTGAACCATAAATAAGAGGAAATGATCATCAATGAACTGATGCATTTGAATTGTGGTGTTGTCAAAGCATATTGAAAGTACTGTGGGTGGTCGTCAGCACCTTCACTGCCAGCCAGTCAGTGCCCCAAGAAGTAACTGGTGAGTTTAAACTGCTTTACCCAATAGTGTGGACTGTGAAATCCTGGGAAGCAAGGATGGGGAGAATGTGTCTCATACTTTAGACATATTATCAGGAGGGCCCACTTCCCAGGTAAGTGCATCTTGCTTGGTAAAGTAGAGGAGTGGCACAAAGAGAAAACCTCTCAATGTGATAGACCAACAGTTGGCTGCAACAATGGGCTCAAGCTTAAGGACAATTGTGAGGACGATGCAGGCCTTGGCAGTGCTTCATCTGTTGTGCACAGGGTCACCATGAGTCGAACTGACTATATGGCACCTAACCACAAGAACATTATCCAAAGCTCTGTAAATCCATATCTGTTTGCCTTTGGGGGTTGGAAACATTACATATAAACATCTGCAAGGGAACCTCTGAGTATGATAAAATCAGAAAATTACAGGTGGCAACATTGCATGTAATAATAATAAGAATAAAACATACCATCATAAATGCAGTTCATGGTAACTCACATATGTAGTATGCTGGAGTCTACCTGTACTCATCAACTGCTAATTTCATGATTAAAAGCAAAATCCCAGTTCCTGGGTGGTGTAAACTGTAAACACCCTTGGCTGCTAATCCAAAGGTTGAAGGTTCAAGTCTACTCAAAGGTATTTAGGAAGAAAACTTCTGTGATCTACTTCTGGGGAAAATAAGCCATTGTAAACACTATGGAGCAAGTTCTACTCTGATACACCTAGGGTCTCCGTGAGTCAAGCTTGGTTCTACATTGACTGGTTTCCAAATTGCAAAGTTAAAAGAAAATAAATGTTAAATCCTAAAAAACAGAAAAACTAAGACAGAAAGAAAAAGAAAATATGGGTACCTGGCAAAGGCACGTCATGCCTGGGAGAGGCTGACGTGGAGACCTCAGGGAACAGTAAGGGATCACAGAGAGCATCATGCAGCATATCCAAGTCATATCAGTCATTGGGAGACTCACTGGGTAGGAAGAAGTAGGTAGACTCAAACGTTGGGTTGCTAACTGCAAGGTCAGCACTTTGAAATCACCAGCTGCACTGCAAAAGCCAAAAAAAAGGGGGTCTTCTACTCCCAGAAAGAGAGTAAAAACTCTGTGTAAAAACTCACAAGGGCAGTTTCCCCTGTCCTGTAGGGTCACTTTGTATCAGAAACAATTAGATGGCAGTCAATTTGGTTGTTCGTTTTTTTGGGGTTTTTTTTTAACTAAAACAAAGAAGCCATGGTAGTACAGTGAGTTACACTTTGGGCTGCTAACTGCAAGGTCAGTAGTTTGAACCCACCGGTCAGTCTATGGGAGAAAGATGAGGCTTTCTGCTCCTGCAAACATTCACAGTCTTAGAAACCCAAAGGGGCAGTTCTACTATGTCCTATAGCAGTGGTTCTCAACCTTCCTAATGCCTCGACCCTTTAATATAGTTCCTCATGTTGTGGTGACCCCCAACCATAAAATTATTTCCATTGTTACTTCATAACTGTAATTTTGTTACTATTATGAATCATAATTTAAATATCTGATATGCAGGCTATATTTTCATTGTTACATATTGAACATAATTAAACATAATTAAACACAGTGACTAATCACAAAACAATAAGTAATTATATATTGTGAAATATCTATGTGTTTTTTAATGGTCTTAGGCAACCCCTGTGAAAGGGTCATTCAACCCCGAAAGGGGTCTTAACCCACAGATTGAGAACTACTGGGTCACCGTGAGTCAGCATCAACTCGATGGCAGTGAGTTTGGTTTGGAGAGATATTTTTTAGGCCAGAAACAAACAATGAGATGCACATCCTTCCCTTTTGCTTTGGTTATCTGAAGCCTTTACTTCTGGGAAAGGCTGGCTCTGTGGGAATGTTTTCTTAGCCTCGGGGCTGTGAGAAGCTGAGGAGAGAGAAGATGGCTGGTTGGGAAGGCAGAGCATTGGTACATATGCCTGGGGCCAATGCATTTTGTGTTGGTGCAATAGAATGCTGCTGCCTTCTGCTTCACGGGAACCCGCTGTCCAGGGCTGCTCTCTGATGTGCCCATTGTTTCCTGATGTTTGCTGTTCTCACAGGCTCAGGACAGACAGCACTGATCCCAATCTAACTGTTGTTGCTAAAAAACTGCTGGGGTCCCAGCAAGTGCAAACAAGGCTGCTGAGATCTGAGTGGAGTGTAAGCCAATTGCTTTGTTAATAATGACAACAGTAGTAACAGCTATCTCTGTGCTCAGCACCTGAAATACGCTCCCTCATCTAATTCTTATGGTAGCCGTGTCATGGAAGTGAGTCTGCCTCTGTTTTCCAGGCAAGGCACCTGAAGCTCAGAAAACTTGGGTGTTTTGCCTATAGCCCAGAGTTAGCAAGTGGCCATTTCAGGTTCACTCTGGCTCTGGAGTCCTGCTCTTTATCCTCCTGTAGTACCGTCCCAGGGATGGTGCTCTGCTAGAAGTGAAAGGAAGGAAAGCCAGAGGGCAAGTGCTTGGTGGATACACTGAGAGCTTCCTCATTATGCTCACCGAATACTACCTGGGTCGGTTTGAGAAAGGTCATTGATTGGCCCAGTTGAGGTGCCCGGAGGCAGGACAACAGAGAGCAAACTGCTCTAGTTCTGATCCCTTAGGCTGAGCTGCAGGCTGGAGACCTGGGGCCTGATACCTCACCTCTTTCCTTGCAGGGAAATTCACCTGCATCGAGGTGAAGTTTCACTTGGAGCGGCAGATGGGCTACTATCTGATTCAGATGTACATCCCCAGCCTTCTCACCGTCATCCTGTCCTGGGTCTCCTTCTGGATCAACATGGATGCTGCCCCAGCCCGTGTGGGTCTAGGCATCACCACGGTGCTTACCATGACAACCCAGAGCTCTGGTTCCCGGGCCTCTTTGCCCAAGGTGAAGGGACGTGCAAAGAACTTGCTTGCCATAGAGCTCCCCATTCCCCATTCATCTCCTGCTCCCTCATATTCCTCATTCCCTGTGGAGGCTGGAGTTAGGGATGCTGTCTGACTAAAGGAGTAGAGAAGATGGCTTACTTTTGAATTCCTCCTGGGAAGTCTTTCCTTAAGGTCCAAGAGCAGTGGTTCTCAACCTTTCTAATGCCGCGACCCTGTAATATAGTTTCTCATGTTGTGGTGACCCCCAACCATAAAATTATTTTCATTGCTACTTCATAACTCTCATTTTGCCCCTGTTGTCGATCGGGTGATCCCTGTGAAAGGGTTGTTCGACCCCCAAATGGGTCGTGACCCACAGGTTGAGAACCACTGTCCAAGAGCAAAAATGACCCTTAACGAACAGAAGATCCTAACTTCTCACGCTACTGATGAAAATATAGCCCAAACAGGTAGGATGACCTTCTCAAGGTCACTCTGTGCCAAATAGAAGAAATACTAGGCTATTTCATTTACATCTGTCTTCTTAGTATGCCCACAAACGAGATACTTTGATAGTGAATTCAAAAAACAGTATCCATTGTCTGGGATGAGGAAATTTGGAGGTAGCAAGTAACCTCTAAAGTCAGCTGGAGCCTGGTGATATGTTGATGACTCTAAGAGATTTGTGCTCATGGGGTGGGGTCTAGGAGGTCCCTACCTCATGTCTTCAATTTAGAGGTCAACCTAAAGTTCCTACACTCAGCAAGGCTCTGAGCAGATCAGGGAGCATGCCCATTCATTCATTCATTCATTCAATAGATATTTACTGAGCATTTTCCAGGTGCCCGGCAGGGAGAAATAACAAGAAGCAAACCCAACACCGTTCCTACAGATCTCTCAGTGAACAGGTTCCCTCTTGCTCTAGTGAACTGGAAACCAGGCCATATAATTGCCCATCTCCCAGTGCATGTTCCACAAGAAAACTTCTTCTGGGGACTTAGGCAGGGCTAATCGGGGTCATATGGGGTGAATTTGGTTACTTGTACTAAGCGTACGGAGCACACGATTCGAAGTCAGGCATATTTCAGTTTATGTTTCAGCTGCGTCATTTACCAATAGTGTGACTTTAGGATGGGCATAAGAACTAGATAATGTATCAACAGAGAACAATATTTGGCTCCTACTAATTGCCCAACAAATGTTAGCAATTTATTGTTATCAGTGTCAAAGTAGAAAGATTGAATGATAAGATTTGTGGCTAAAACAACTGATGTTCTTCCCAATTATCTCTGAGCTGCTAGGAAACCTTTGAGGTGGCCCAAAGCCTCAGAGGGATAAGCAGTGACAACGCTCAGATTAAGATCAAGGGTCCCAGGGGAAGCTGCCAGGGATCATTTCTTGCGTGTTTCCTAGGTGTGCACAAATATTGAGCCTCTGAGACATAGGCCAAGCTCGGGCAAGGATGACGGGGCCAAGCTGGGCTGGCCTGGCCATGTTGTGCTAGTGGCCTTATGTGGAGACCAAAAGGCAGAAGAAACAGTGCAGTCCTAAAAACCCTGCCCTAGGTTATTGCCATCGTCACGCAAAGAAGTGATTGCCCGCTTACTCAGGAAAGTGCTGCAGTGGCATGTCTGATTCTTGCCAAGAGAACTTCCCTTTCCAGCCCCCTCCTGTGAACAAGTACAGTGCATCTGCTCCAAGGAATCACTTCGTTCCCTCATTTGGTGGGGGGGGGGGGGATTCGGTTGGAGGGTTGTTTGTTTGTAGTGTCTGATGCCTTTTCATCAGATTTTAATGACCTTTTTCATGGTTTCATTGGTCAGTAAGCAACCTACTCAGGCATGCCCGCTAAACTAAAGAGCCTCATTAGCCAGTCTCACTGAGCAAGAGTCTGAAGCAGCCTTGGCTCATTCTTGGGTTTGTGAAATATGATGTTTTGTGGGAGCCCCAGGGAGAGAGAGGGTCAGGGCAGGGACTTCTGGAAGCTGTGCCTATGCCATCCCCAATAAAACCCCAATGTCCATCTGTATAGAGGTCCCCAAAGGCACGCTCTCTTCACCAACACAACTACAGATTGCCCAGAGCAGGATGGAAGCAAGACTTACAAATGCTTACCAGACACTGGCGGTTTAGACTTCAAATTACACAGAGACCAAGGGCCCAGATTCTCTCCAGAACCTATCATCTACATGGCCCATAACACTCGGGGGAGGCAGTGGTGAAGAGGCAATGAGAACAAGCAGGATAAGGGTATTGCCAACCCATCCACTCGTTAATTCACTCGACAAATATTTATCATGTTCCAGACACTCAGTTAGGCACTGAGGATAGAACAGTGAAGAAGATCGAAACAGTATGGATTGGGATAACAGTTGTATGAGCCCCTAATAAAATGTTAAAAAAGAAAAAGAAAAAAAAAGAAGAAGATCGAAACAGTCCCTGCCAGCTCAGAGCTCACAGTTGTGTGGAGGAAACAGCCAGATACACATATGTGGTAGTTGCCTAAAAGGTACAGGTAACCTAAACACATACAATAGCGGGAACCACCAGCCCATACACTGGGTTTATCTGGGAAGGCTTCCCGGAGGATGCGGTTTTAACATCAAAGCTGAAGGATAAATACAAGTTGTCCAGGAAAAGGGGAGAGAGAGTGAGCGAGCTTGACTCCTAGAGGAAACTACTGAACTAGTGACTCATGGTGGGGTCCTATATTGCAAAGGGAGACATGAGGTTGAAGAGGTAGGCAGGGGCTAGATGTCAGAGCAGGGGAATATTGGCAATAGAGAGTCGCCAAGGTGTCATAGGCAGGGGAATGGTATGATGAGATTGCCATTTTGAACACCGTGACTGTGCTGTTCAGAGATGAGACTGGAGGTGGCAATAAAAGGTGTAGGAAGATGAACTCAGAGACAATCAAAGTCCTTCCGGTGAACTAGAAGAGCAAGCGGGAGGGTTCCAGGGGTACTACTGAGTCCCTTGCTTTGTTTTGTTTTCTTCTTTCTGGGGCCTAAAGGTATCCTTGGTTTGCAGTGGTCCAAAGCCCTTCACGACATCCCTTGTCCTTAAGTCATTACTGAGCTCCATAGCAGTCAATGGAAATCCCCACGGCACAGTGGGACACAGGGGTAGAATAACAGAGAACGCCCTCTGAGCAGGGAGCAAAGTAGAGACACCAAGGGTTGCCTAATCAGGGAAGCCTAGCAACCCACCACAGCGCCCTCCGTACACGGGCACCAAAGGAGGGACAGCACAGGGTTTCTCACCCTCAGAACTCTTGACCTTGGGGCCAGGTAATGCTTTGCTGCTGGAAAAGCTTCTGTGCACTGGGTTGAGGGACTCTTAGCATCCCTCTTCTTGACCCACTGGATGCCAGTCACTCCCCCAAGCCAAGTTGTGAAGACTGGAAATGTCTCTAGACATTGATTGCCAAATGTCCTGTAGGGCAAAATTGCCCCTGGTGAAGAACCATGGAGCTAGAGGGGCTCAACTATAAAACCGGCCTTTATCGGAGGTCTGCAGGGCTCTCACTGCCCAACACAGCGGAAAAACACCAACTCATAGCAGAGGGCTGGTAAAAGAGATTGTCTGGCATAAATCCCACTCCTACAAAGGAGCCTTCTGGGGTGAGCTCAGCAGCTCAAAGCTATGTAGGGAGTTAATCTGGTTGAGGGCATGAAAGGACTTCAGACACCTGCGTGCCGTCCACTCTCCTGAGCCCACTGTGCTACAACTCTATCCAGGAGAGATGTGCATTTTGAGCCCTCCCCAGGGGGCTGGGGAAGGAAAACCCCTAGAGGCTGCAAAGGCAGGTAGTGAGAATGAAGGCACTAGGGATTGGGCAGGTGGTCGTCAAATGTGCCTGGTGATTAGAGAAGAATCCTTAAAAGGGAGTAGTAGGTGGTACTCCTTTGGAGTTCCGTACTGGTGTGATCTTCAAGGTGAGATGAAGCCCCAGCTCACTACAGAACTAAATTCCTCAGCCAAGGCCCTCAATCAGCACAGCAAGGAATGAAGGGAAGACTGGCTATAGAGGAGGAGCACTTAGCTGTGAGACTGCATCCTGTGTTAATGCCATGCCACCAAAATAAGAACTCAGAACCCCCAGGTGCTATGGCCAATTTCTCACTGAGCAACCTTCTCTTCAACCTTTCTGGGCCTCAAGTGTGTCTCACATGGAAATATTGAGTGCTGCCCATGATCACAGTGCACTGTGAGGACCCCAGGCAATAAACGAAGGTAAACAAACTCAGTATGCTCACTCGTTGCAGGTTTATTGAGAGAAAAGAATCAGAAGAAGATAAGGACGAAAAGGAGTGCAAGCAGGAGAAGCATAACCACTAGAAGATGAAAGGAAGGAAGGAAGGAAGAGGAGGATAGGAAGGAAAGGCAGATAGAAATGGAGGGTGGAGAGTGCACAGAGGTGAAGGAGGGTGGGTAGCCCTATTGAATAATGGGACATATCGTGAACAGCTTCTTTAAAAACCTGAAAATTTTCAGGATCAAGCTGAAGCACAGCAGGCAGTTGAAATGGGCTGGTGATCCACTGGTTAGACCAGGGAAGCACTCCGAGGCAGTTGCTGACTGCTCCAATGTTGGGTGTTGCAGGTGTCCTACGTGAAGGCCATCGACATCTGGATGGCTGTGTGCCTGCTCTTTGTATTTGCTGCCCTGTTGGAATATGCGGCTGTCAATTTTGTCTCTCGACAACATAAGGAATTCATGAGGCTTCGAAGAAGGCAACGGCGCCAACGCATGGTGAGTCTAACTTGGGAGAGGCCCACTTCCTTTATTCTGCCTTCCTCCCCACTGCTCCTCCCACACACTAAGACCCAATCTAGGGGTGCAAGCACGACCCCTGACTTCTGGTCCTAGGCTGACCTCAGATAAGCGAAGTCCTTTAATCTCCTTGATTCTATTATTTCCTTATCTGTCCAACGGGACAATAATGCCTATAGGAGAATCTAGTACAGTGGCGAAGAATATGGGCACAGTAAGCACTAAGATAATGTTAGCCAGCATTATGTAATTAATATGTAAGGAGCATTGAAAAATCAGTAATGGTTCCCCTGGCTCTCCCCTCCACCAGGGGAGCAATGATTAATGACTGAGAAATTCAAGAGTTTCCCCTGAGAGCTTTGTATAAAGTTGGAATTGAAATGCCTTACTTGCTTCTTGTGGCTGTTGGGTTTCTTCTGTACAATCTTCATGGAATGACTCAGAGTCGGTGGATTTGGGCTGTTCCAAATTCTTGTATGTGAATCCCATTCCTTCTACAGCAGAGTGATGACTTCAAGAAATAAAATAAGAATCTTGTTGTCATGACAACAGAGTCCATTTACAACCACCACCTCCCCCATTGCCCAGACAATAGGAATTCGGTAGGTTGTCATGACAACAGAGGTGCCTGGGCCACCCTCATGAAGCAAGTGGCCAATTATGAGCTGAGTGGCAAGATCTTACTAAACTGCATCCTAGTGGCTTAGTCATCAGCTGTCACAGAGTTCGGGTCTGTCATGCTCTGGCTCCTTGTTTTCTGCCTAATCTAGAGGCCTCAAAGCCAACAGGCGCAAGCACATAAGGAAACCTTTGGAAGGATAGGAAACAGCCCTCTGAACCCATTGTACAAGTGCTGTCTCTGGTCTATCTAGGCTACATCTCTCTTCTTAACACTCCTCCGTCACCTAAACTGCTTTTGGGGTGCCCTCTACCATGTACCTGTTCCTCTACCTCTAAATGCCTGTTCTATTGACAGTAGTGCTCCTGTCTGACCTCATGATTGTCTTAATTTATCAGTTCTTGCCTCATTTTTAGTCCTTTAATTGGGCTCTGGACAGCTCGCCCTCTAGTGGCTTGATTTATAACTGCAGATTTTTTTTTTTAACATTTTATTAGGGGCTCATACAACTGTTATCCCAATCCATACACACATCAATTGTGTAACGCGCATTTGTACATCGTTTCTCAAAACATTTTCTCTCCATTTAAACCCCCGACATTAGGTCCTCATTTTTCCCCTCCCTCCCCGCTCCCCCCTCCCGCATGAGCCCTTGATAGTTTATAAATGGGTATTTTGTCATATCTTGCCCTGTCCGACGTCTCCCTTCATCCACTTTTTGGTTGTCTGTCCCCCAGGGAGGAGGTCACACACAGTTCCATGTAATCGGTTCCCTCTTCCCTACCCATTCTCCCTTTACCCTCCCTGTTTTGCCACTCACACCACTGGTCCTATAGGGCTCATCCGTCCTGGATTCCCTGTATTTTCAGTTCCTATCTGTACCAGTGTACCTCCTCTGGTCTAGCCAGTCTTGCAAGATAGAATTCGAGTCATGGTAGTGGGAGCGGGGAGGAAACCTTTAGGAATTAGAGGAAGGTTGTATTTCTCATCATTGTTACATCGCACCGTGACTGGCTCATCTCCTCCCCGAGACCCCTCTGCAAGGGGATCTCCAGTGGCCTACTAATGGGCTTTGGATCTCCACTCCGCACTCCCCCCAATAACTGCAGATTTTGAATAGTATTCAAAACTCAGTGCCGATTCATAGTGACCATCTGAGAGAGACTAGAATCATAGGGTTTCTGAGGCTATGAATCACAGTTGCTGTGAGTAGGAATTGACTCAGTGATAGTGAGCTTGGTTTGGGTTTTCATCAACATCTCAGGGCAACAAACAACAAGCTCCTATACAGAGGATTAGTAGAAGGGTGAAATCCAGACTTGGAAGAGAGGTGAGGAAAAAGGACCCATTTTTTTTTTTAAGACCCATATTTTAAGCAGGCTGCCCCCACCCCACCCCCCTGACAGTGTCAAACTAGTGTGTTTAGGGACCAAAAAATCTTATTTTTATGGAAGTTTTGATCTTGATCACTTAAAACCTACCTTAGACAAGAAGAGTAGGCTGCCAACCAGTCCGGAGTCCTTTCCCAGCTAAGTTGCCTGTGTGGGTGTTCCTTTGGGTGCTACAGTGCTACCCTAGGTTGGCACTAGTCCCACCTCCTTGCCCTGTATCTCTTCATCCCCAACTAGCTGTCCTCTCCCACTCCTATGTAAGCCAGTCTTGAGTCCATAATGGACTATGTCATAATCAGGTATCCATGACTACAAAGTGATGACAACAGCCTGGCACCTGCCTAGGCTCCTGGAGGCTGCCTGAAAATGGGATGAGGCTCATTACTGAAGTGAGTAAAACCAGAAAGCTCAGAACCGACGCTGAGTCATAAACCATTCTTAAGTTTCCTCGAGCCACTGGCACCCAGTAGGCCTGCAGTAGGGATCCTGGAGGTCACTGAGCAGGCAGGACATTTTGAAAGAGAGTTAGTCCATGTCCAGAGCCTCTGTCTGGGCCCTCTTCTTCCAACATCTTCAGTCTAAGAGAGGGGTGGGGAAGAAAACATAGGAGTATCACAGATCCTGTCACCAAGAGCAAGTTAGGGATATTTGAGGAGCCAACCAATTGCTCATTAAAACCCAGACTCAATCCTAATTTTCTCTAATGTCTCCTCAACCACCCATCTCTACGGTGTCGTGTTCTGGGCTTTCACTCAGACTTGGCAGAGAGCGCCTTGCCATTGTCAATAGAATCACTTGAGAAATTGAACAAATTGTAAAATACTGCCAAGTCCTCTCGGTCCCAACTATATCTATATCTATATCTATATCTATGGATTCTGACTCATAGTAGCCCCATAAGACAGAGTAGAACTGCTCCAGAGAGTTTCCTAGGCTATAATTTTAATGGGATCACATCATCCTGTCTTTTGTCCCAAAGAGTAGCTGGTAGGTTCCAAGCATCCACCTTTCTGGTAGCAGCCAAATAAATATGCAACCACCACACCACCAGAGCTGCTTTTGCCATGTCTATCCAACCATAATCCAAACCTATTGCCATCGTCTATTCCAATTCATAGTGACCCTTGTAGGACACAGTAGAGCTGCCCCACAGGATTTCCAAGGCTGTACAGAGTTATGGAAGCAGGCTGCCACATCTTTCTACCATGGGTTCAAACCACTGACCTTTGAGTTAGTAGTCAAGTGTTTGACCACTGCACCAATGGGGCTCCCATGTTATATATAGAATGTTTTTCCCCCATGCATTCCTGCTATGATTTCCCAGCTAATCTGTAAGCTTCACAGGGAAGAACCTGTCTCTTTTTCAACAGGCGCTAGCACCAGGCTGAGGGCACAGCAAACATGTAATGCAACCCACCCACTCACTTTTGCAGGCTGGTTGGCAAGGACTCTTGCTCAGGCTTGGCTGAGAGAGTGCCTTGCCACTGTCAATAGAATCACTTGAGAAATTGCAAATCGCAAAATACTGCCAAGTCCTCTCAGGATCTCAGTCCCAGAAACCTTCTTGCCTGTCTCCATCCCTCAATACATTCTCTCCCAACCTCTGCACCTTGCCTCCTGTGCACTGCAGACTTAGATTGGCTTTGGATTCTCTTCCCTACCACCACCCACCACCGCCACTATCACCACCTCAGTCTTTTCACCTATAGATAGCTCCCGGGGTGGGGGTGCGGGGGGGGCTTGTTCTTTTCTTTTTTTTAATGTTAACACCACAGAGCCCGTCAAGTAGTATCTTACACACACACACACACACACACACACACACACACACACACACTCAGAATGTAGCCTGAATAGATAAATCAGCCTCCCACCCCTTAGCACTCAGGTAAATTCCTCAATTACAAGAGGTTGTTGGTGCTGTCGTCGTCGTCGTCGTTAGGTGCCATGAGCTGTGACTCATAGCCTCCCTGTGTACAACAGGGTGAGACCCTGTCCAACCCTGTGCCATCCTCACAGTCTCTGTGCTGGGCAAGTCCCGTATTGCAGCAACTGTGTCCGTGCAGCTCCTCTAGGGGCTTCCTCTCTTTGGCCAACTGGGTGCTTTTCCCGAGCAGGGTGCCCTTTCCCAGGGGCAGCCCCTTTCCTGTCAACAGAGCCAATGTACACGAGATGAAGTCTCGCCGCTCTCACAAGAGGTGCAACATAGCAAATGAAACAGAACCGAGGGCAGCTTATTCCATTTGGCCATATTTTCTCTCCTGTGTGAAGCGGCTCTTTCCAGCCTGGGAAACATTTCCAAGTGATTCCCGGTGGATTTACTGTGATTGGAGAAGAAGGGAAATCATTGGCTTTATAGAATCAGAAACAGCAGCTGGATCCAACTTTTCCCTTCCAAGCATTATGCACACAAGTCTGGTTCGGGACTTGTATTCCTTGAGCTGAGAGACGGAGGGGCTCCTGAGGAGAAGGGGCAACAGGGTCTTCTGAGGTAGCCTGAACTGGAAGGCACGAAAATAAAATGATTTCCCTTGCCTTTTCATTAATTCCTCCCTTTTTAATTACTTGGGACATGTTTCATTTGTCTATGGTTCTGTAACTGCATCACGGCTTCCTTTATAGGAATACTACGAAGATGAATGTAAGGATACATGTGATGTGAGCCCGGACCAGTGGTGAATAAGGTGGCGGAAATAACGTAAAGCAGAGCACTCACCCAGCCCCATTTCCCTTCTTGGGGCACAAGGCACTACAACTCAGGGTCCAGGCACAACACCCATGGTGGAATTTCTTTGACCTATACCAGTACAACTCTCTCCATAAGCGCCCTGGCAACATCAAGGAGTGGGCACCCTTTGCTGGCTTGCCTTGCAGAGATCCTTTCTTACACCAAAGGTGCCGCTCCCTTTCTAGACGCTGAAGGGCATCAGTGAGCCCTTGTACAGCATAAGGCAGGGACTCAAGGTTTTTCCTGCGAAACACATTCTAACTGAGGAAGGTACTTTTCTGAACAGACTACAGTGTCAGGCCGTGAGAGGATTTTGGCTTCCTGAGAACACAAAGCCATTCCCCTTCCTAGAGTCTGATGTGGGTGATGCCTCCATTCATTCATTCAACAGCTCTAGACTGAGCACCTACTAGGTGCTAGGCACTGTGTGGGGAACTGGGTGCATGGCAATGGACAGTACTAGTGCAGCTTCCCAAGTTTGTGAGGCGAGCACACAGGCAGCAGAGAAAGAGAGGGCGTTTGTTGCTGACTCTCTGGGCTGAGCTTGCCTGCCTCTGATGAAGGGCCTGCCCTTAGGCTAAGAGGCCAATTATCCAGTGATATAACAATCCACAGTGATATAACAATCCAGGCAAACAGGACCCTGTCTCACCAAGGCCTCAATATATGCCACACTTCTCAATGTGTTCCCACAGCAGTCAAGTCCCAGGGTGGTACAAATGGTTAATGTGCTTGGCTGCTACCTACCCTACAATGTCCTTCTCATTGCACAGAGTATGTACCGTGTTCCGATGTCATAGACCTGGATGATCCAAGCGCATTGTTCTTATAATCCAGAGGAAGTGGCCCTGGTAGCTGTAGTGGGACAGCTCATCCTAGTTTTAACTCGGGTTTTCCCACTTTTACCACTGAGAAGTCCCTCTGCCCAGAATCCTCCTGAGTCTCAAGCAAACCGTCCCGGAAAGAGACATTCTACGACAAGATGATTTCTTAGCTACTTGAAACTATTACTCCTGTAACCATCAATACTTTAAAAATGGTAGGCACTTCAAAAAAGTATTTTGATTTTCTTTAAAATAGGGGGGGTCCATTTTATCTTTTAAATATTAGGTCTTTCTTCCCACTAATGTCCAGTAGAGTCTAACCCAGCCCCATTTCCTTTCTTTGGGCTACCCCACTTACAACTCGGGGTCCAGTTCTTCCTTGAAAATTTCTGCGATAGCACCATGGATAACCGAGGTCATGACCAGTCATTCAGCACCCCCCACTGCTGCCACTTCCCACAAAGATCTGCCCATTGGCCCTTAGGCTCACTTGTTCCATCCCACTACTGGAAGACTTTGACATCCCTTCAGCTTCTAGCCATAGACACCCTCCAGAGGTCGAGTTTCCCAAGGGTTCAGGGAGAAGAGGAAGACACTGACCATCTGCCAATCATGTAAGGGTCTCTGGCTTGGTGTCCAAGATATCTGTACTAGTGATGAAGGCTCCTATGTTGGCAGCCAGAGCTTCTGCAGTCAGCACCTGGGGGGGGGGGCTTTTGGCTTTGTGTGCCACTATACTGTCCTCATTTATTATTACAGTATTATTACAATTTTGCCACAGAAATCGCAGGAGAACTGGTAGGAGTCTGTGCCATGCTTCTTCATTTTGTGGCTACCTTTTGAAGGGAGCATTTCTTGATTCTGGCATACACTTCCCTGTCTTCTAACTACCGGGCCTGTCACTTCTGATATTAGGGTTTTATTTAGAAGTAGATTAAATCACGCTTGTTTGAGCTGTCTATAAAATATACGTAAACAACCTCAGGGGGGGGGGCGTGTCTAAGTGCCCCTGAAATGAGTAAAACTCTATTGGTCACTCAAGACTTTGGGTCCCTTATTCTTCCTCTTCTACCTTTCTCTGTTGAATAATTGGATTTTCCGGAGGCTGCTTCATTACTTAGTGCTGACATAACATTTATCTCCTGAGGGTTATGTGTTCATGATCCTACCATTTATAATACCAATGTAAATGCAAAGTGGACAGTTATGACTGCAGTGTACATTGGCCAATGAATTCAGGGTAGATATACTGGCCCTTGTGTCAAAATGGAAGGTGCCTTGGTGGCACAGTGGTTAAGCACTCAGTTGAGAACCAAAGGGTTGGTGATTCAAACGCAAAAGCCACTCGATAGAAGAAAGATCTGGTAGTCAGCTTCTGTAAAGATGTACAGTCTTGGAAACCCTTTGATATTTCCAAGTTTCTACTCTGTCCTGTAGGGTTGCTATGCATTCAGCACAATGGCAGTGGGTTTGTTTCACGTTTGTATGTCAAAACTACTGATTTGCAGAAAAGTACATGGATCTGTAGTAGGCCCAACATGGATCTGCGATAGTGATCAGATTTGAATAGCCTAATTTGAAGAACCCCTTAAAAAAAGGCACTGCCATAGAGTCCATTCTGATTCGCAGTGACCCTAGAGGACAGACCAGAACTGTCACTGTCCGTTTCCAAGGCTGTCCACTTTCAGTGCAGCAAAAAAGCCTCACCTTTCTCCCCTAGGAGTGGTTGGTGGTTTCAACAGGGAGGTCATGCCGTTGGCAGTCTGATGTGTCACCTACTACGCCACCAGGGTCATTGAAAACTTTTTGCTTTTTAGCTCTGAGTCCAGATAGACCATTTTTAAAGGATATGTTCTAAGAGAGCGAATTGTGCAGCTTTGGGACGTCATTACAGTCAAATTCACCAAGTCTGTCTTAGTTCTGCCGTGTGATAGCTTCACTGTTATGCATGCTCTGTTTATTACATCACAGATAGCTAGACATTGAGATGTCTCTTAGCCCCATTTCACCATGAATTGGCACTTCACAGGGTCTTAGCTTTAAATGTGAATACATTTTTAAAAGGTAGCTCAGGGTCTATCTGTAAATGAAAATCATATATCTACATACAATATGTAGCAGCTGAATATACATGTATCTCCTGGGCAGTATTAAGCACATAATAAAGCACACAGTGAACGTGTATACCCAGTACTCACTCTATCTGTATAGCTAGCAGCAGCATCTATGAAATATTTTATGTGTGTTCTGGTTTCTATCCCTATGCCTTTGAGCTGTGACCTCATATTCTACCTTTTTTTCCCCTTGTGACTCCAGGAGGAAGATATCATCCAAGAAAGTCGCTTCTATTTCCATGGCTATGGCCTTGGCCATTGCCTGCAGGCAAGGGATGGTGGGCCAATGGAAGGTTCTGGCATGTATAGCCCTCAAGCTCCAGCTCCTCTTCTAAGGGAGGGAGAATCCATGCGGAAACTCTATGTGGACCGAGCCAAAAGGATTGACACCGTCTCCCGGGCTGTCTTCCCTTTTACTTTCCTCATCTTCAACATCTTCTACTGGGTTGTCTATAAAGTGCTACGATCAGAAGATATCCACCAGGCACTGTGAATCGGGTGGTGGGACTACAAAGTCCAGCTGCTGGCTGCTGGCTTTCTGCTTCCTCCTAGGTGGGCTTTCCCTCTCTGTAAGACTCCCATCAGGGGGTTTGGACCGCTCCTTTCTCACCTCCCACTAAGAATTTCAACTACCGATCCAAAAGCTCTGTGGGCTGACACTGCATGGAGCCAATGGTGGCTCTACCGAGGAAGATGGCTTATCTACCCTAGCCCAGATTTTCTCCCATCCTCTCCCACTGTCCAGAACACGAAGGTTTGGCCACATTCCTGGGGCAAGGATGCCATTCTGCCCTTGTTGGAACCTCTCTGTTTTCTAATATATATTCTTGTCTAGATTCTGGATTTATTTATGTTTAATCTTAATGTGTCCCACTCTTGTCCTGACACACCCCACACAGAGCCTGACCCTTGGTGTGTGCTCCGTTTCTTCTGCTGCAGGCCCAAATAGGCAGTCTTGCCCTTCCACAAGTGCTGCCCTTGTGTGAGCCAGTCAGCTTGCCTTGGTTGGTGGAAAAAAGGCACGAGGACAGGTCCCCCATCCTGCAGCAAGGTTAGAGGTTCACATAGTTATGGGCTGCACTGGGGTAGGACATCATTATAGAGCCCAACAGAGAGGTCTTTGAGTCTCTTAGGACACCCAACAGTGCCAAAATAGTGCCAAGCAAAGACCTTGGGCTTTCAGAAAGCCTATGCTTTCAAATCCACCTGAACTTCCCAGTCTCAGAAATATTTTTTCTACTCTATAACCAGCAAGGCCACAGGAGCCTGGTGAGTGAGTGAACTAGATAGATAGATAGATAGATAGATAGATAGATAGATAGATAGATAGATAGATAGATAGATAGATAGAAGCATGGTTAGACTTTAAGTAATTTATTTGATGGTGCTAGCAAACTGTCAAGAAAAGTGAGGTCCACAGTAGGGCAGGTATGACTCAGGAAGAGTGGAATAGAGAAACTATCCTCAGACAGCTTTTCGGTGGCTGGGTCTTCATTTGCTTCTTGTTTTTCTCCAAAGTCTCTCTATTTCCCAAGACTCCTTATTTCCAATCTGTTCCTTTGTCTCCTTTTGGTGAGTAACTAATGTTGCGATGTTGCCTTGTCCTGCAGAGTGTACGGTTTGAGGTCCCTGGTGGGGACTGTCAAATAGAGAATCCTTAACCTGGTCAAGGAGGCCTGGTAATGTAGTGGTTATGCATTGGTCTGAGATCCGATTGGTAACCAGTTCAAAACCACCAGCCACTCTGTGGGAGGAAGACTGGACTTTCAACTCCTTTAAGCATTCTTCGAATCCCACAGGGGGTCACTATGAGTCAGCACTGACTTGGCCTACCTCAGAGTAGGACTTGTTTTTATTTTGTTTTCATTTTTATTTTCCACGTCATTCTCTTGCTTCCCGTCTCCTTCCCAGAAATGGCAGCATAGAGGAGGTTGATGTGGAAGAGCCCATTACAAGCCTGACATACCTCTGGGTCACGGGGCAGCATGGACCTGGGACACTTAGTTCTTTGAACTGCTCGGTTAGGAACAGAGACAGGAGAGATTAGAGCAAGAGTGGGACTCTAGAAGAGAGAGGTGATCAAACGTTATCTTAAACATCTTGTTCTTTTCTCTGGGCCTAGAATAATCAACTATTATTATTAATAATCAACTATGCGACTTTAATCTCTCCTTCCCCATCTCCCTTCTTCAACATGGTGTTCCAATTTGATAGTCAATAAATCCACTGATCAAACCAATTTCTACAGTCAAACCAAGGGCTCAGCGTCCTTTCCCCTTCTCCCCTATTGCGCTTCTTTGCCTGCCTCTCCTGCTCATTGCTATATACTCCTCTTGTCTGTTGCTTGGCTTTGGGGAGGGCATTCAGGCTCACTGGGGAAGCTGGTTGATTTTATTAGCAATGTTAACTAGCAATGTGGTTCCAAGGAGAGTCAAAACGAAAGAACAGGCTTAAGGGAAAAAATAGAATTCAGAGGGGAGAAGGCCCGTTTCCTCCCCGCCACCCCCACCCCCTCTGCCCATTTCTGTCCAGGTAGTGCCAATCAGTGAGAAGCCACAGCAATGCCCCTTTGAAAGGAGCAGAGTATCTCTTTGATACCCTGCCTGGTGGGGCTGGGGTGTCAGGCTACAGCAGCACAAAGACAGGGGCAGCGGGGGATGGGATGGACTATGGAGATGAGCTTATTGCACAGAGCTGTACTTGTTATAGATCTTGTCCAGATGGGCCAACTGCACAAATCTGCCCTGTTGGAAGTCTCAAGAACAATGCTCTGGAGACAGCTACAGTACTGAGCAACAGAGCTTGCCCAACTGGGACTCTGCTCAGGGCATCAGCTGGTGCTGGGAGCCAAAGAAGCCAAAGAACTACCCAACATAATAGCCCAAGGGAGTTCACAAAGCTACTCAGAGGGAATGCCAGGTGGAAGGTACTGTCCTTCCCCATGAGAGTGTACTAGCAGAGAAAGGAGACTGGTGTTGGCATCAGATGCAAATGGTTTTTGTTTTATTTGTTTGTTTTCCCTCGCCCTTCCCACACAGGTACTGAGGGGAGGTGAAGCTGGCTTTCACTGGGAGTGTCTGATGCCTAGCAGTCCATTCAGTGATAGAATTCTTGAACCGGGACCTTTCTTACCATAGTGAAGTGATACACGAGGCTAACATGGAGGTCACTCCATTTCTCTTTCCTCTCGGAGCACGCACCCCTCTGGAGACCCACACTACTTTCTGCTTGGATCACGTCTCAAGTGATTTTTGCATTTTAAAACAACATCATTTTTTAAGGGGGAAAAAAAGCTTCCACCATAAATAAAGTGTCTGAGGTATTTTCATTAATCCCTTGTTAATATTTAATAGCAGCTAAATATTTTATGCATCTATTTTTTTCCGGGGAAAGGATTCTCTGTATTCTGGTAAGATGATCAACACTGCCACCCCTCCGCCCCCCTTCAGTTTTCTCTGCTCTTTAGAAATAAACAGGGGGTCGCTCAGAGTCAGCAGTGACACAATGGCAGTGAGTTTGCTGTGGGTATTTTTGGGCATGTGCTTCTTTCTCTTCAATCAACCAACAGGACTTCTTGTTCTCCCTGAATTTACAGTTAAACAAACAAACAAACAAAAAAGCGCTCTATGTGGCAGGCAAGTAGTGGATAAATTTTACCCTTTCATATGCATATGCCTTTACCCCCACCTCTGACCAAAGAACTGATACTCTCATCTTGCTGAAATGTTAAATGGACTCTTGAAAGTGTTTGCTTTTCCCTAGCCAAGACAGAGCACCTCCTGGGGTCCTTTTTTTTCTTTTTCTTTTTTACTGTTGATATGAGGAGTTTATGTGAGTGCGGTCCAACTGTGAGCTGCAATCCATGTGTTGTTGCTTTGTACAGTTTGATTTCTTAATTGATTGGGGTCTGTTTACATTGAGCTTGGGAGATGGTGCTAGGGGAAGGTTGCCTGCATCATCCCTTACGGGGCAGACCCTTGCCTCTAAGACCAACCCCTGTCATATGAACGCAAGGGGAGCATTGAAGTGCTAAATATAAGGTGGTTCTGGGTCCTCTTTCATTGGAAACCCACTAAGCCTGGGGTCCCACCCAAGGTCCAACGATTGCCATTTCCACAGTCTTGGGGAGGTGGGATTCTTTACATGTGCCCACCCCCAGTTGCCTCTTCCCACTCCTGGTTTACTACAACCAATGCTGTGATGATGATGATGATGATGATGATGATGATGATGATGATGATGATGATTTCATCATTGCTGGCTGCCAAAGTCTGAAACTAAACTCAAATCCATTATGTTTAGATGAAAGATCTTGGCTTATGAAAGGCAAATCAACCAAGCTTGGGAACCGCCAACAGATTGGGAGCCCAGTTAGTAGTGCTATCACCCATTTAACGGATTAAATCTAGAATATTCTCTTTGAGGGCAAGAACTGGGTCTTAGAACCCTGTATGTGGCCCAGGCAGCTCCTAGGGCATACCAATACACAATAGACTGCAGGGGCGAAGGAGTGCACTTCAAAATTCCATTTGTTTTTAATTCTATTTTTCCATAGACTTTTTGATGCCACCTCCCCTCATGTGTAGAATGGAAAGGATGAATTCCCACTTGGTTTGCTATATAACACAATTCTGTTCATTCTCTTCCTATTACTTTCTTGATCGCAGAAACACAAACCTGGAAGGGAACTTAGAAAAGGGAACAGATAAAACACACGTGTATACACGCACGCACATACACACACACACACACACACACATCTGTCTTTGGGCATAGCAGAGACAAAGTTAAGAAGACAACCAAACATTGTAAACTGCAACACTAAATACTGATACCACTGTGATTAAACATTGATAATACTACACATACGAAGGCTACTATCCAGCTCTATATTAAAAACCAATCAGTAAATGAAAGCCCTTGCAGCGACAAGCAAGTGCAATAGCAGGGATTTGGGGTAGTACTCCCAACTGCTTCCCTTCCCACTTGAGACACCGTTCCCACCGGAGAGCCAGTCATCCCTGAAGGGTTAGTAATTAGGCTGCTCTTGCCTTGCACACTGCAATATGCCACAAGGATCACTTTCGCAGTCTGCACACTTTGTACCAGTAGCAACAGAACAACTTATTAGTGAATCTGAGGCCAGGAGGCAGAAGAACTTCTGAACCAGGAGTTTTCTTGCTCCCTGAGCATTCCCTCCATAGAAGAGCAAGACCATGGAGTCACCTTTAGGAGTCACGTGAGGCCTCAGCGGTTGCCATTCCTTCGGAGCAGCTCTGTTTTCCTGTCTATGTGTTTACCATGAGATTTCCCACAGAAGCCTTAGGTGGTGTAAATGCTCAAGTACTACATTACAAACTGAAACGTTGGTGGTTGGAACCCATTCAGAGGGGCTCAGAAGAAAGGCCTGGCAATCTGTTTCCATAAAACCTAGTATCGAAATCAACTCAAGGAAGTGTACTGTTGTCACTATCAGCTCCCTAGAGTAAGGGCAATTCTTATCATCACCTAAATGCACAGAACCCTCTGTTTTACAGGATTTGATTTAGAAAAATATATGTGTTCTCTATTTTCATAGCTTCCATTCAGGATAATTCAGCAATTAAGAGCACGGACTTTGGTACCAGACAGAGCCTGAGTTTCAATAACAATTCCACTATGTAGCTGATATTGGGTTCTTGGACAAATGACTTCATCGCCTTCAGTCTTAGCTTCCTTCTCTGAAGGGCCATTGGGAGGCTCTGAAAAGTCCA